GGGGTCCAGGGGGCTGGGTAGGTGCATGACTTAAGGTGTCCTCTTGGGGGGCTGGGTAAGTGCTGGACTTGGGGTAGGGTCCAGGGGGCTGGGTGGGTGCTGGACTTGGGGGTGTCTGGGGAGCTGGGTAGGTGCTGGACTTGGGGTGGCATCTGGGGGGCTGGGTGGGTACCCTCTGGGGGGCTGGGTAGGGGCTGGACTTGGGGTGTCCTCTGGGGGACTGGGTAGGTGCTAGACTTGGGGTAGGGTCCAGAGGGCTGGGTGGGTGCTGAACTTGGGGGGTGTCTGGGGGCCTGGGTGGTACAGGACTTGGGGTGGCATCTGGGGGGCTGGGTGGGTACCCTCTGGGGGGCTGGGTAGGGGCTGGACTTGGGGTGTCCTCTGGGGGACTGGTTGGGGACTGGACTTGGGGTGAGGTCCAGGGGGTTGGGTGGATGCTGGACTTGGAGTGGCGTCTGGGGGGCTGGGTGGTACAGAACTTGGGGTGGTGTCTGGGGACTGGGTGGGTACAGGACTTGGGGTGTCCTCTGGGCAGCTGGGTGGGTGCTGGACTTGGGGTGGGGTCCAGGGGCCTGGGTGGTTGTGAGACTTAAGGTCTTGAGTCTCCGCATGGTAGCCCTGTGCTGTCAAGAGTTGGGGTCTGGGGTTTGTAGAGCGAGCTCCTGGGACCAGGGAGAAGGGGGACCCTCCTGACTGAAGGAGGGTGGAGTGGGGCGTCCCTGTGCTGGCCTCGGGCCTGCTCACCAGCCCTTCCCACAGCCGCTGGTGTTCGGGGCCATGGTGCACCGTGACGAGGCGTTCGACGCCATCTTCAGCCAGTACATGAAGATCACAGCTGCGGCCGCGGTGGGCGGGGACAGCTAGCCGACTGGGGACGCTGCGGAGGCTCCTGTCACCGCCCGGACGTGTCCCTGCCCTTGGCAATAACCCTGAGCTGTGGTTCGTCTTGTGCATCGCATCTCAGACATCCCAGCAGGGCTGGGGGCTGCAGGACGGCTCGGAGGCACCTGGCCACAGGCTTGGGCGGCAGGTGCGTGTGCAGGAGGACGCTGGTGCAGCCGCTGTCGCTCCGGCTTTCCTGGGTCTGGCGGGATGGAGACATCGTGGATGCTGCTCCCCACTCCTGAACGCCTGCCGACGCAGGAGCGGGGCTTCTGTGGAAGGTGATCAAGACATGAGAGGCCACCAAGGCCAGCGGGTCTTGCTCCTTCCCTAGTGAGACCCTGCGGAGTCTGTCCTCGGCGTGGGCCGGGCCGGGAGGGCTGTGCACTGGGGTCTCATCCTGGCCGGCAGGCAGCCTGGGCCGGCGGGCAGGAACCCACACCTGCGGCCACCGTGCTGCCTGGTCCTCACGGTCACAGCAGGCGGCGGGGTCTCCTGTGGTGCTGGCTCTTTGGAGAGGCTGGTGAAGCCTTGGGATGCTCTATCTCTGGTGGCACAAGACGTGACGCCAGCCGATTGCCCCCGGGTGCTCGTAGTCCATGTGCGCGAGGTGGCAGCGGCCGAGGGAGGTCAGGGCTGGCCCGCCACGTCGTCCAGTGTTACTGACCAGCACCCTGACCCCACATACCCGCTGGCCCGGAGGAGCGCTCCTGGCAGGGCCGACTCTGAGACCCTGGCATTGGGCTTGGATGGGAGGGCAGTCAGAGGCCCGGGGCAGGCTGGCAGCCTCTCTGGGGGAGATGCAAGGGGGTGGGCTGTAGGTGCGCCCCCTTCCACCCACCCCCCAGCCTCTGTGTGGCACGAGAGCATTGTTTTTTGAAGAAACAGAAGATTATATTTTTTACAGAGAGTAAGCTGTTTTTCTTATTTTTGTATCATTTTTCAGATGTGATTTTTACCTTTGCCCCCACCCTCGTGCTGGCTTGGGGAGGGATCTGGTGATGGTAGCCTGCTGACCCAATTTGTGGGCGCCAAGCTGGGCCTGGGTCGCACTTTGGGGGTGATGCTGGGCAGCCAGGTGAAGCACAGGTCCCCCCAGTGTGTCCCCTGGGGCTGCTGGGCAGGGAGTTGGGGCCAGTAGCCACATATGACGCAGCCCTGACTACAAGCACATGTTGACTGGATGCCTGAGGTCACTCCAGGGCACTCAGCTCGATAGCCATGCCCTAGGGGTCCCCGTGGGGCCTGAGGTCCAATAGAGTGGCCCTGAACTGGCCCAGGGACAACTGCACAGGAAGTTCCTTGTGCCAGCCCCACACAGGCCTGGCATCTTGGGTGAGGGGGGTGAGGGCTACCGAGTGGGTGTGGGCTGTCCACTGTGAGGCTGGCCCTTCTTGAGCACAAGTGGGTGGCTTGGTTGGAGCCCCTTCTGCAGAGAAAGGGCAGTGAGAACTGACCACGACAGGAGGCCTGACAGCCCCGAGCAGGGCTGGTGGACGGCAGGCCGTCTCTGGGAGCTGGTGGGCAGTGGCCTCCGAGGGGGAGCTGCAGCTCTGTGCACCCCTGGCCCTGTGGAACCGCAGTCTGGGAAGACACTTAATTTCTACGCTTAATCATTGACCTGGGATGAATGTCCACTTTTTTCATGTCTGGAGTTGAGTCCTCTATTTGGGTCTGTAAATAATCATATGGTGTCACTTCTGTTCAGTGAGAGGGTTGTACTGTGTGAGGAACGTGTGGAGGTGAGCCCCCTGGAACATTTTTTTAAGAAAACCTTGTTTGTTTAAAGAAAAAGTCTTGTATAAATTATAATTTTTATTTAAATAAATCTGAAATGCTTTGTGCTAAAGGCTTAGCTGCAGCATGGCAGCAGGGACACAGGGTGGGAATTCAGGAGGGTAGGGACAAAGAAGAGGTGCCCAGGGGACCAGCTTGGGGTGGGGCAGGCTCACAGTGGGGGTTCTGTCCAGACTGGTGCTGGGAGGGCTCAGTGGTGGTCCTTGGAGTTGGAAGGCAGCGACCAGGAACTTCCCAGGCCTGGCTGACCCTTTGTCACCCTCTCTCCCGGCAGAGGACCCTGGTAGCTGTGGTCACAGCTCAAGAACACAGCCTCTCACTCTCCTAAAATCCTGGGACAAGGGGTGAGAGGCTTCAGGGATCTGGCCACAGGCACTCCCGGGTAACCCTACGTGGTCACTCCATACACTGGCCCTGGATCATGCAGGAATCTGCCCCATTGGTGCCCTGACTGGGCCAGGACGCCCACAGCCCCCAACTATGGCTCTGAACCCTGGTTCATCCAAGCAAGATGTGTGCAAGATAGAAACCAAGTCAGCTTCATCTGACCTCTTTTGGGCATGTTGCAAGGAGTGACCAGTCCTTGGAGAGGGACTTCATGCTTGGGAGTGTGGAAGGACAGTGGAGCAGAGGAAGACCCTCTATGAGATGGACTGATACAGTGACTGGGGTAATGGGGGTAGGTGTGTCAGAGACAGTGAGGTTGGCACAGGACAGAGCACATTTCAGGGCTGTTGTACGTATGGTTGCTATGAGTCACAAGCGATTTCCCGGCATATAACAACAGTGACTCTTTGAAGCTGCAGTAACATCCCATTGCCCAGCTTGCAGCCAAATAGTAGGGCTCTAAGGTGAACACTGGCCTAGTGGTAATAAACTGTGCTGCAGTCCAAAGGTGGCTGTTAGGTGCCATTGAGTTGAGCATGACTGACAGCGACCCTATGAACAAAAGATCTGAACCCTGGTCTATAACCATCATCATTTCTCTAATGTTCATAGAGTTTCCAAAGGCATGTTGTTTAGGAAGTGGTTGCCAATCCTGCTTCCAAGCCTGTCTTAATCCGGAACCTCCACCAAACACTGCCCACCACGGGTAACCATCGTGACATTTGACACACCAATGACACAGCATCACAGCAACCCCAAGTTACCTCTGTACAGCAAACCAACAAACCAGTGCTGTACCACTTAGGAGAATGTTCTTCCCAAACACAAACACCAGGATTGAGGGCCAATGCCTGAGGGCCCAATGGGCTTTTAAATACAAAGTCTACCCACCAGGTCCTGACTAACTTAACAGGAGACTTCCAGCCCACAGCTGCTCATTAGCTAAAGAGGTGATGGGTGAGCCCTTAGAAGGCCCCAAAGTGGACTCTTGGGACTGGGAACACGTAGTGCAGTATCCTGTGTGTAGGATCTCATGTGCACCATGGTCTCCATCGAGGGTATCGCCCTCCAAATCAGCACATTCTGTTTAGGGAGGGGGAAGGGAGGGTACTAAGACCATTTCACAAGTACTTCTGTGAATGTTCTCATGGCTCTTCCAATTAGATGGCTTCATCCTCGTTTTACAGATTATAGAGAATTGAGGCTCAGCCGGAGTAAGTCACCTGTGTGTGAGGGCACAAGGTGACCAGCAGAAGCGGGACACAGACCATACAGGTCGTCGTCTAACACTGTGACTTTTACACTAAACTGCTTCTCAAACGCATGGCCACAAACTCAGAACTGACTCACAGCTGACCCCTCCAGTGGGCTTTCAGAAGCTACACACTGCACAGGAGGAGACTGCCCATCTTTTTCCCACAGAGCAGCTTGTGGATTCAAACCACTCACCTCTGAGTTGGAGAGGAACGCCTTACTCAGAAAGCCACCACGGCTTCCATTTCTTCTCAGAAAGGCCTGTTTCACCTCACCTGTCTTACACAGGATTCTGGTAGCCTAGTCTACTCGGACTTCTAAATAAACCAAGGTACTGTTCTTTTTCTAGGTGATGGCACAGCTACGGAGAGATTTAATGGTAAGATTACATTCTCAAGGAACATTATTTCTAAAGACTCTTCTCCGATTTTCTACATTTTTATTTTAGAATAAAAAAAGTAAAAATTTACGGTTTTGGAAATAAAATATAATTTCATAAAAATTAAAACTTGTAGCCACAAAACAAAGATCGTCTTTTTACTTGTTTGCTTTAGAATAACATTTTACAGTATATTTTATGATTGTTGTTGTTGTTGTTGTTGTTGTTGTTATGTGCCCTCAAGTCGAGTTCAACCCAGAGTGGACCCTATGAACAACAGACCTGAACCCTGTGCCATCCTCTTATCACCACAGATCACCATTTCTAGGTCAAGAAGCAGGTTAATAGCGTCCAGCCCACCACTTCCCCTTTCCTCCTTATCAATCACTATCCTGTTCTTTCTCTCCCAAGTGGTTATGCATCAGGATTGGTGGAAGATCTATTAACAATCTGCATTATGCAGATGACACAAAGGGTTGCTGAAACTGAGGAGGACCTCATGCACTTGCTGCAGAGGGTCAAGGACTGCAGCCTCCAATATGGACTGAGGCTCAATGTCAGGAAGACAAAGATTCTCACCACTGGACCAATTGGTAGCATCAGGATGGATGGCAAAGAGATTGAGATTGTTCACAGCTTCAGTTTGCTCAGCTCCACGGTCAACACTCTTGGCACCAGCAGTCAGGAAATAAAAAAATGTATTACGATGGGAAAGTCTGCTGTTAGGGACCTCTCTAAAGTACTCAAGAGCAACGGTGTCTCTCTGGAGACTAAGGTGCGTCTGATACAGGCCATGGTCTTTGCAATCACTTGTTATGCATCAGAGAGTTGGACAATGACTAGGGAGGATAGAAGAGAATTGACGCCTTTGAGCTGTGGTGCTGGAGAAGAGTATTGAATGTACCATGGACTGCCAAGAAAACAAACAGATTCATCCTGGAGAGGATTAAACCAAGCTACTTCTTGGAGGCAAGGATTCTGAGGTCTTCGTCTGACATACTTTGGGCATGTTGTAAGAAGAGACAGGTCTTTAGAGAAGGACATCATGCTTGGTAGGGTGGAGGGACGGCGCAAGAGGGGAAGACCCTCTATGAGATGGATTGATTCAGTGACTGGGGTAATCGGGATGGGTGTGTCAGAGGCAGTGCTATTGGCACAGGATAGA